TCAAAACGAACGGAATTAAGTCGTCAAAAACATAACCCCATAACTTATCCAGTTTTGCATTTGCTACATTGAGTTACCTAAATCTTGCGTCTTAACACATACAAGATAAAATAAACTCCTTTTTTTTGTATTTTCCGCCGTTAGCCTGTTTGTAAGTAGCCTTCGAATGAGCAATCATCAGCGCTTGCTAGGGGATGGTTGCTGTTAGCGTTTGCTACTACCTGCGTCGTCTCCTAAGCGCCTTGGTTCTTCGTAGAGAACAAATACGGAAGGGGTTTAGAAGTGCGTTTTGATTTTGCGTTTTGCAATGGTTAAGTTAGAGTTAATCGACATACTTTAAATTAGTTTGAAGATTCAGCGTCAGTTCAAGGTCGTTAGTCAATAAATAACGCTATGAGTCAGGGTAGCCGATGTGATTAAATATTTTGAGTAGCTTCTGCCCAGCGGGCAATTGCTGTTAGTAATATTCATTGCTTTACAGATTGGTATGCGCAAAAATACGAAATCCTACGTGTCCATGCCTGAAACTTTGGCATTTATGAGAGCTGGAATTGAACCCACTTTCATCTCAACAACCAGGAAAGCTGGCAGGCTGGCTTCGGATATATGTTCCTACCCCGTGTATCATCCTCCCGTTTTAAGATCTTCCCCCATACGCGCCTTAATTTGGATATATGTTCCTACCCCGTGTGTCATCCTCCCGTTTTAAGATCTTTCCCCATACGCGCCTATACCCCGCGTACGGGGCCCCCAAAGAAATGTGTCGGCGGGAAATGATTTCGCGAATCAGGCAACGTAGAAAGCTAAAACTTTGCAGAGATATTCTCTATGCAGGTGAGAGATAAAAATTTTAAACTCAGCTCTCTAGCTCCCCAACCACAGCTCAAGCAGCTCCTCAGCCCAAAAATCGTTAGCATCTCGGACCTGAGCCGTAGTTGTATATGCAAACGAACATGGATTTTTTGAAAAACGACCGTTCGAGCAATACTTTCAATTTTTAATGAAATGAAAATTTGCATATTTTCAAAAAAATCGTTCGCAGTTTTGACCTGCATCACGTAGATCAACGTGGATTTTTTGACAAACGACCGCTCCAGCAATACTTCCACTTTTTAGTGGACTGGAAATTCGCATTTTTTCAAAAAAATTGCATTC